AACGTGCATCTGAACCAGTCAAAGATGACTGGAGAGTTGTAGAGCGGCTAAATAATCTAAGCGAACAATGGAAAGAATTGGATGCAGAAGCAAATGCAAGAAAAGAAGAACTTCAGCGTTTAGTTTCAGGACGAAAAAACCGAGATCGATCAGGATCAATACCAACTTCCCAGGCTCGACCATCCTCACCAGTACGTGATAATAGTACACGTATAAGGAATGCAGTTACACCAAGAAATTCAAACTCAGCACTTCAAAATCCTCGATCACCATCTCCAATGACATCTCATACATCATATACAAATGCCCAATCTTCTTCTCGTAATGGTATACGAAATACACGGACAGCAAGTCCGACAAGACAATCACCAAGTCCAACCCCTGGAAATCAAAGTTCACTGCGTCGTCCTCTATTACCACACACAGTCAATAATTATATACCAAAATCAAATGATCCACTTGACGTCGAAGTTGCTCGAATAGTAAACACTTGTCCTGTAAAGATAAAGGTCACGTTGGTTGAGGGAGAAGAGGGAAAATATTTGTTTGGTGAAGTTGAACCAAAACTTTGTTATTGCCGAATTCTTAGAAGTCGAATGGTTATGGTTCGAGTCGGTGGTGGATGGGCTGAATTATCAAAGTATGTATTATTCTTTATATTGTATTTGAATTTATATGATTCCACTCGGAAAAATTATGCTAATAAAATTTCTAATTTTCCTTTCTTTTCTCAATTTATTATCCTCGCTTTTGGAAATAATCAAAGATTCCTTGTTGGTATGTACGATTTTTTTATTTGATTAGAGTAGAATAGATATAGATTAGTTAGATTAGCAGTAATCAACAGCAGAAAATCATTTCCAAACGAAAAGATAAAAAAATCGATTTGAAATGATTCTCTTTCATTTTCTGTGTTTGTTATATATACTCAATTATATCGAGAAAGAGAGATATATCAGTGATCTCTCTCTTCAATTCATTCTGCAAACACAGAACACGCTAACTTGGAACAAAAGTTTATCCCCGAAGCCCGATCTTTTGTCGGACTTGACGAAACAAGCCCGAACGGTAGTTAAACCTCGCCTAGTCCCAGTTTCCATGAGGCGAACATCCGCCTCGTGCCGCAGGGACCAAGACTCCGAATCGAAGGAGAAAAAGACGGCGGCCCTTGGCGGTAAGAAACCTGTTCACCCGTAAAGTGAGTAATAGACTAGAAAATACTACCACTAATAAAATTGGTAATGATGAGGGTGGCGACAACAGTAGATTGAGGAGTGAATTAGAGTATGGGTGAAAATTCGGATTTAGAAGAAATTTGTTTTGGAAAATTGTACAATGCTTAATGATGAAAAGGGTGTATAAAAAGATTTTGGATTTTTTTTCTATCGAAGATTCGGTATAGAACTAGACATCCCCTCCCTCACATTATATCTAGATGTCTTATTTTTCATTGTGAGCTAAAACGAATCCTCTCTGCACGAACATAAAGGATCGAAAAAAATTAGATTATAATCGTTAACTTGTTATATAATCAAATTATGTGTGAATTTCTTTATTAGTAAATTATCATAGACGGAAGTCTAAGTACCTTTGAAAATCTAATGTTAATTTCATCAATTGAGTGATCACAAACTAATCAAAACGCCGAAGTTGCACATTATCAATCGATTCCAAAATGTGTGCCACAATAATGTATTATATAAAGAGGACCCAAGAAGCAACTCAACTTGTCATCATTAAAATTGAAAATTTCAAGAAACAAGATTTGAAATCTATTTCGAAATGAAATCTGTCAGCACTAAATGCGTAAACACCGATGTATTAGATTCGATAATGTCAAGAACTTTACCGTTATGTTCTTGATAAACGTGTCGAATGGAAGATCAACATTCTGATGCTAATGATGAAAATAAAAGAACAATGACAATGATAAAAATGACATTGATGATAAAAATGACAATGATAAAAATGACATTGTGACATTCTTGGAATGATTTAATCAACTGGAAAGTATCCGTGCCAAGATGGCAGTGTTAAGTATTCAAGTAGATAATATTGATCAAGATGTTGAAATTGTCGACTTAGAAGAGAAACTTGCCAAACTTCAGCACACTATCGATCAATTCCAAAGTGTGAACCATAACAATGTATTAAAAAATATTGGTGATACACAATATAAAGAAGACAATTCTAGAATTAAGGAAGCAACTCAACAACAAACAAATCATGTATTGGATGATTTGGAATGGGCTCAAAGCTATGATAGCATCTGTACGATCTAGTCTCAACACCTTACAAGAAAGTCAAGATGTCACACGTGCCATCAAGGATATTTTAATGGCAATCGTACAGGTTAAAGATCGAGTATTGAACATTGAATCGTATATCGATGGTAATAGTCTTCAGCTACCAACAAGAGATGATATCCAGATGGGAGAACGGGAACTTAATTCAATTCAAGCTAAAGTTGATCATCTTCTTCCACCTAGAATTGAAACATTGGATGAAATGATTAGCAACTTAATAGATGGCGGAACAAACTTCATACAACAACGCGTAGGGATTGCCAATCTTTAAATGATCTCGCAAGTTTAATCGAAACAAGAGGAATCCACTTCGGGAACTTCAAAATACTCGATCGCCATCTCCAATAGCATCTTGTACATCATATGCAAATGCCCAATCTTCTTCTCGTAAGGGTACACGAAATACACCTACACGGATAACAGTCCGACAAGGCAATCACCAAGTCCAACCCCCAGAAATCAAGATTCACTGCGTCGTCCTCCAATTCGTCTATTACCACACACAGTCAATAATTATATACCGAAATCAAATGATCCACTTGACGTCGAAGTTGCTCGAATAGTAAACGCTTGTCCTGTAAAGATAAAGGTCACATTGGTTGAAGGAGCCAAAACTTTGTCATTGCCGAATTCCTAGAGGTCGAATAGTTATGGTTCGAGTCGGTGGTGGATGGGCTGAATTATCAAAGTATATATTGTTCTTTATATTGTATTTGCGAGCGAAAACGTCAATTCAATTCAGAAATACAAAAAGATACTACTTGAAAAAATGAACCACAAAGAAAAGAAATCGGATATCAATTCATCATTAAAGAAACTGACAAACTCATTATTAGACGCACCCGCCAGCAGCGTATCCGAGTCTAGAATAGTAATCGACACCGAAACATTGAATTTGTATGATTCACTCAGAAAGATTACGCTACTAAAATTCTAATTTTTCTTTTTTTTCAATTTATTATCCTCGCTTTTGGAAATAATCAAAGATTCCTTGTTGATATGTACGATTTTTTTATGTTGATTGGAGTAGAATAGAAATAGATTAGTTAAATTAGCAGTAGTTCTGCCAACACAGAACACGCGAACCTGGAACAAAGTTTATCCCCAAAATCCGATCTTGACGAAATAAGCTCAAACGGTAGTTAAACCTCTCCTAGTCCCAGTTTTCATGAGGCATTACCAAATTAAAAATTGAAAAATTCCAGATCAACACCAAAAGATTAGTCTTGTCACGCACGTTCATTAATTGGTTTGATTCAACCTGCCACTCTCTATTAGCCTTTAGTTAATACATTGATTGATCGCATCCTTGTAAGGAACACTTCTCAAACTTTTTTTAGCACGTCAACCTTTGTTTTTAACCCAAAATCCAAGATAAATTCAAAAACATCATATTTTGATGTTATTCACGTCACTAAAAACTTTAATGCTCCGCCAGGTAGCGAGGGCCTTGGCAACGAATATAATGATGATAATGGATGTGAATGTTGAACATTATGGAGACGAGCACGAATAATTGGATACGAACAATTAAGAATATAAATGATTAGACACGAACAATAATTTCTCGACACCAATTATAATAATAAATATTACGATTTTGGTACTTTAACCTCGTCCCAATTAACTTCAATTGTTACATTTTTGTAACCAACTGTATTTAATCTTTAATAAATATGTGAAAGCCAAAAATTAAGTTATTCCCATCACTATGTAAAAAGATTAAACATAATAGTCCCTTATATTTATTTTGAACAAAATCCCACACAAATCTCAATAATAAACAAATCAAAATTATATTATCGTAATATTCCTCCTTAATCAACAATGTCACTAATCTTTGTTTCACCAGTTTCTTCCGCAGCAACACTAGAGGAAGTGGCACCACCTGTAGCTTCTTCTTTCTTCTCACTAGCCGCCTCGAAATTTTCCACTAATTCCGGAATGTCGTCATCATCGTTACCACCACCACCGCCACCACCACCAATATCCATCTGCAATCCGCTGGTATTCGCGTAATTATTAATCTGTTGATAGGTTTCGGCCAATTTACGTAGCGACGCAAGTGAATCAGGTCCAAGTTGATTCAAGATTCCGGGCACCAGTTCCGTGAGTTCTTTGTCTTCGCCTTGACCGTAGATGGCGAATGTATTTGCGTGAACTGATGCGTGGACTAATGAATTAATAATTATCATTTGTTAATTCAATTACGATGATGATAAGATTGTATATTATTTATTGTACATTGAGCTCAAAACGAATGATAGATACCTTTTGGTGCTTGAAAATGGATGACGTTGCCATCATCCTTAAACATATTCACCTCTTCAATCGCCGGAATCGATTGCACGTTCAATTTCTTTAACGTTGACTGAAGTTTCTTGTCATCATTTGACGCTGTCTTGTGGACCTTCTTAACCTTACGACGTGGTGTTCCTTTGCCACCTTCATTTATTTTTGGAATGAGGAGGTAAAATTTATTAATTTTTTCAATAATCCTTTTGAAAATTCTTTTACTTTGTAAAAATAACAAGCAATCCAGCAGATTCTTCATCATCAAACACATACTCGTAAAGCAAAAAAGACGAATTCAATAAAAAAAAACGAAACCTACCAATTCGTACTTGGGTTGAGAGTTTGGCGAGTTTTTCTTTATTCATGATATGTAGATATTATGATGGAAAAATAATATTAATATACTATTTATAATGTGTGTATAGAGAGAGAGAGAGGCTATCAGTGTTGTTGGTGGTGGTGGTGATAAACGGAAAAGAAATATCTGTTTCAACCGTAGATTCAAAAACAATAATGGGTCAGTCAGTCTTTACGTCAATAATTCGTCTATCTGTCTTAATGCAAAAGCGTGCCAATTTTCAATAAAATGAAAGGGGCTATCTATACAAGCTCACTTGAAATGGTGAACGAGTAGATACTCACCGTTATTTTAAAAAAAATGCAAAAGAGACGTTTCGTTTCTCGAGTGCGAAAAAAATTTTACGAATACATACGTAAAAATAATGCTTACTCTATTTTTTTTTTTGGGATATATTGCCTGATGGATCTTAGATTCCGGTGATGACGATGACGATGACGATGACGATGACGATGACGATGTCCGATTATTATATTTTTGAGCATCCATTGATTGTGTTAGAACATCTATATTTCCATACTACTATTTTCTCCAGACTAGCACAATTTCTTTATATTTCCTCAAACGCACACACCATTTCTGATACAATACAATACAATTCAACATGTCTTTTTTGGACAAACAAACGGCAGAGTTCAAATCACAGGTCGCTTCTCAACCAGTATTTCCACGTGCAAAAATATCAACCGCGGTATCTTCGTCCTCTTCTTTTGGAGGCGTACCAACAAAAAGAGCTAGGGTAGAGGATGTATCTGGTGTTAGCGCTGGGGGATCCAAGAAAAAGAGAACAGCTCAACCAGGTCAGAAGCTTAGACGAGTGTTTCATGAAAAATGACCTACTAGATGAGTCTAATTTGGGGGTATTTTTAGTATATGCGCCCACCCCAACAGCCACTAGCGTGCCAAAACATACCAATAGTAAGTTGCATAGTGTCATAAATTTCCTAAAGGTAACTTGTGATTACATAACACGCCTGTTTTTATCTTCTCGTCAAATAATTTGTCTAAATGTAAACAACAAACAACTCATATAATAGGAACATGTCGATGAACCGCAAACATATGACGACTTCAGAGCGGCAAGCATCGATGTTGAGCAAGATTCAGAACTGTTAAGACTTATGCAGAAGAGTGAAAAAATACTATATAATCCGAAAAACCGCACATTTCAATACAAGGTAAGTATTGAGTGGTTTTTTTTCTTTTGGTGCACATTGAATCGTTGATCGTTGAATGTTGACCAAGAATTTCCATTTTTCTCCATACTACTACTCTTTATTAGCCCGAATTTCAAATTCGTGATAAGGAGGATTTGGTTAAATTGTTATATGAAAGAAAAGATTCTAAACCGTGTGGATTACAGTTCAAAGATTTGGCTGATTCTTACATCGATCTTAAAAAGGCAATAGACGTAAGTTCCTATTCTGCATGTAGCTCGATGGAGAGATGAACCGCGAAAACACCTTTATCTGTGCGATTGTTTTAAGTTATTTAACTCTTTATATATAAAAGGAACTCGAAACGGAAAAACGGATTCTGGTCATACGGTCAGTGAAAGATAACGCACCGCGCATCATATTCTGGAATTCTACTGAAGAAGACACACCAATGGACAAAGGTTGGATAAAAAATTCAAGGAAAAAAGAATGATTGTATTCATGTTTTTATTATTATATATTCATAAAATTTGTAGAATTTGTCGATATATTCCACAAAGTTAAAGTTCCTGATGTTCAAGTTGACTTGCCGAAGGAGCTACAGAAAGGTAATGGTGTATATGATGATGAGTGTTAAAAAAAAATAATTCAATCACTATTCTCACGTGAATCACATTATTCCTATGGTAATAAATGATAGCTGGTCTACAAAAAATGGAAGTTTATGAAAACAAAACCAAAAATGAGGTATCACGTCGCTTTTGAACTCCTTTCTCTTCGTAATAATCCTCGGATGTCTTACACACCCAATTATCCAATTATTTGATTAGAACAAGCAAAAGCAACGAAAGAAGAAACAGGTGAATCGAAAGATCAAAATTCACAACACTCACGTAGCTATTGATCTTACCAAAGATTACGTTCCCCATCACAGTTAATTGGTAAGTCAGTTCTATTTTTATTAGCTGATCAGCATCTATCGTGAACAATGAATCATCTGTTTGACATTTTGTTTAGTTTCTTTTGGATTTAGAATGAATGCTGTCGTTTTACATCTCAATATTCGATGAAATCTTTATTGCAACACTAAAGAGCATGCATGAATGGAGAAATTCATATATATATATATATATATATATATATATACACATATTTATTATTTTGATTATCCCCTCATTTCAAAAAGAAAAAAAAAACTACATTCTTTTGCTAAATTGAAAAAAAATTTACGCGAATCATCATCTATCAAAGATTAATGATGTTAATAAAATTTTGTATGCATCAAATAAATAACCATATTAACTGTCATTATGTATTTTAATCAATTTGATTTATTTTTCTGAACGCAATGATTAAGAATTGTTGCAAGCTTGTATGTTAATCGCAGCCCCAGACTTGTCTTATTGATGTCAGTTAGCATGGCTTATAGTGAGAGAAGATGTTGGGATCCTTTTACGCGCGTTAAAAAATTATTTTATATGTGCGTAGTGGATTTTCTTCCCAAGTTCTGATTGGTTCATAATATTTAAAGACCATACTTGTGAGAAATTAGCGTATTGTACATCACCGGTTGGGACAACACAATCATAAACCTGGTGAGAATTATCTCATCAAAATCAAAAATTATGTCCTCATTAGCATTGACATTAAAAAAACACGTCGCGCTTCGCACAAATTTTCGGTACAGCAGAAAATTATCGAAAACTTTAGCAACTTTGTCCTCGAATACAGAAATTTTTTCTGCTCAGAAACAACCGAAACAACAGCAAGAAAAGCTATCGCCTTTTTTGAATATTAAAGAGGCTCTTGAAAATGTTTACGATGTTATTATAGTCGGTGGCGGAATTACGGGTTTGGCTCTGGCAAATGCCTTGGGTAAAGATTAAATATAATCTTTGTTTTCGATTTTGTCGAAATCTCTCGTTTTAAGCTTAACCAATACCGATTTCGACATTCTTAATAGCGACTTGCCATAAAACAAAATTGCAAAAAATAGCTCTGATAGAATCCAGCAACTTTTCACACATTAGAGGGTGGAAGAACGACCACGATAACGCCAACGAACGTTATTCGAATCGAGTTAGTTCAATAACGCCTGGTTCCGTTAGATTTCTTAAAGGTTCAGAATTATGAATGTTTATTGAGTAATCAGTAAATATCAACCTATTCTGATGATGATGATTTTATTTTAAAAAAGAGATTGGAGTCTGGCAGAAACTCGATCATACGCGTGTAAAACCTTATCAATACATGGTAGTGTGGGATGGTGTAAGCGATGCACAAATATTTTTTGATTCAGAGATCATCTCTCGATCATTATCGTCGTTACCGTTTTTTCTTCGACAACTTGACAAAAAAAAGGATGCGGATGATTCAGATTCAATTGCTTGGATCATAGAGAATTCAAATATTCAACATGGACTACTTTCTAACCTGGATCATTTGCAAAATAAAAATCATGGAAAAATTTCGATCTTCGATAATAAAAAAGTGGAACGAATCGTCTCTGAAAATAATAATGACACCAGAGCACATGAATTTTTTGATCTTTCCGAATGGCCTATTGTAGAATTGGATGATGGTCAAAAATTGAGAGCAAGATTATTAGTAAATATCTCGTTCATTCTCATCTGGAAGGATATGTTTGTTTACTGAATATATGATTTATAGATTGGCGCGGATGGAATCAACTCTCCTGTACGGTCTTTTGCCAATATCGAGACATTAGGATGGGATTATAACTCACACGCAGTGGTTGCCACGCTGAACATAGACTCAACCACCCACGATAATGTGAATAACACCGCATGGCAACGGTTTCTTCCCACGGGACCAATAGCAATGTTACCGGTAAAAATTTTAAAAGCAAAAATTCGCATTTCATAAATTTTAATATTTTCTTTATCGTCAAAACAAAGCTACATTCCCGTGTTTCCTCAATGGTATGGTCCACAACACCACAACTTGCCGTAAAGATACGACAAATGCCTCCTGATCAATTTGTAGAATTAGTAAATGGCGCGTTTAGATTAGGGATCGCAGATTTAAATTATTTGTACAAGATCATTGAAAACAGTTCCGGGACATCCGATTATGATATTGGCGATGAAATGAGATGGCGAGAAAGTGTGAATACGAATAAAGCATCGAGCCCAGTGCCACCAAGAGTTGTAGGCGTACAAGAAAAAAGTCGAGCTAGTTTTCCATTGAGAATGAGAAATGCAGAATGTTATGTAAAGAATCGAGTAGTTCTGATTGGGTATAATTTGTTTTTTGAGTAACAAGGTTATCTCTCCCGTTTAAAATTGGTAATTATGTATATTTTTAATTCAGTGATGCAGCTCATGTAATACATCCACTTGCTGGACAAGGATTAAATCAAGGTATTGCAGATGTTGAGTGCTTAGCAAGGGTGATTGAACGTGGTGTAATAAATGGACAAGATATTGGTAATATTTGTTGATATAATATGTAGTTTTTTGTCCTCAATAGAATATGTTTCTTATACTTTTTTTATGTTGTCTTAGGTGACGTTAATTCAATACAAGAATACGCCTCGAAACGTTACATCAAAAACTTGATGATGATTGGAGCAGTCGATAAATTGCACAAACTATTTTCGACTGATCTGACGCCCATTGTTTGGATGAGATCGTTAGGACTACGAATGGTTAATGGACTTGAACCTGTAAAGGTTAGTTGCATTCCATATCAGGTTTTCTGTACTATCATTTATTTCTTCAATGAGAAATAAGTTTAACGCTAATTCATCCCTTTGAATTAGGCGGAAATAATGAAATTTGCAATGGGGATGGAACATCAATCAACAGACTAGCAATTATCTGGTAATTCCTTAGGGACAAACATTAAATCTGTGATGGCTAAGAGAGATTTATATCGATGGTGCATATACAACATCTTGAATATATTTATTTGTGGGACAAAAATGACAATTGCGATTTTCTTTTCTTGTAATAACTTCGAGCGTGAGTAATATGTGCGTATGTTTCTGTGTGTATGTGTGCGAATTCTTTCGGGTAAAACTCAATGATTAATTATTAGATTATGATGATGATGATGATGATGATCATTATTATTATTATCATTATTATCATTATTATTATTGTTATTGTTAATTATTATTAAAAATTGAATCTCATTAAATTACATTATTACACATTTGCAACAGCAGCCTTTGTTCACTACTCCATCATCATCAATTCCCCCTTTCTCATCCATACTTTCGCCAGGCTTTCTTCGTTGACTATTGTTCTTAGTGCCTAAACAATTAAAACATGTCCAAGATCTTTTAATTTTTTCATCTTTTGGTGGAGGTGGAGGTGGCAACACATCTTCAACCTCGTCACCCTCAATATCCTTATTACTATTGGATTGATCAAATTGTCCATTGTTAGTATTATCCTCATCATAATCGGCTTTTCGTCTTTTTCTATCAGTTGCCATATTTGCAGGAACACTAACAGTCTTTTTCTCGTCCGACTTTAAAAATGTAATAGTCGCCGAAAATTGGTATGGAATTTGATTATCGGATCTGATGGTGCTCGAGGTTGTATAGATCATTGTGTAGGCAGTAGGTGCTGGTTTGGCGTCATTTGGCACCACTTTCGAGCCACGCGACTTTGGAACTATGTCAACTGACTTTATTGTATTTGCTTCCGCATTGCAGAATAATGTCACTTCCCATTGATGATTGCCGTCCATGAGGCGTGTGTGTGTCGATTTTAGGTACATTACGGTTTATTAGTAACGATGATTCTTGTTATTTAGGAATAATCAGAGATTGAATAAGAAACAACTTCGATTTAAGATTGGGCAAAATACGCAGTACTTGCACTTTTTGATCTCAACAATAACTTTTTCTCTTCTCGTTCCGCTTTGTATTTTATATTGATTTTTTTTTTGTAATTTACGGTTGAACTGTAAACAGCTGTTTTACCCGTTTTTTTATTGACTTGATATCAATTTTATTGTTTATTAAAGAAAAAATTTTTTTTGCTTTGTATTCTCTCCCCTTATAAAGAAGACTGCGTCTTATTTTTTTGTTAGAGGAGCAAATAAATAGTAAGAGACAAAAAAAGAAAAAGGAAATAAATATATATACCCACGCGCACACACGCACACCCACCACTCACACTCTGAAAAAAACGAGAATAATAAATTCTGATACAAGAAGTAGGGGTGGAAGGAATAATGAGTCTTTATACACTTTATTTGTACTTGTGTACAATATTGATACTCGCTGTGTGATTAAATGTATTATCCCCCACGAAATTAACATAACGATAATATTATTAAAGTTTCGGACTAACCTATATAATAAGCATTGTTATCAAAAAAAAATTTCGGGGTTATATATAGTGGTGTGACAAATCCAAAAATATAAATTCAATAGGAGTTTAATTTGGCGTTTAAATAAATTTTTCAAGAATAATGTTTCTGTGCTTAGAAATACAGTTAAAATTCTCCACTTGGACCATATAAAAATTTGACAGAGCGTGCATTTAAGCAGGACGTGCACTATAAAAAATAAAATACATAGAGGGCTTAGCTTGGGATTGAGTCATACAATGCATTTAGAGGTTTGACTGTAGTTGTTTTTAATTTATAATAAATGTTTCAAAAAAAAAGATAATATTCATATGTAAAACCTTCAAATATAATACATTAAATAATATTATAAAATCATTTGTCATTAAAAAAATCTAAAACTAGCAAAATGAAATACTTGATATTTTACTTGGTGCATTATGTCCGCTTTCTTAACTACATAATTCAATGCATATTTACAAGTTTGCTATTACTCTCTTCGTTAACGAGAATTACATAAATATCCAATTTTTCCATTGTTCTTGAATAGGAAGAGAAGTTTCAGTATAATAACTATAACATAATAGCCCGACATTTATACAATTATTCATGACATGTTTCGATAACATCCATAAACTTTTGTGCGATTTCTTGGTCCTCCACTTCTAGAGTGCCCTTGTTTAACACACCAGATGCTCGATTTGTAATAATGCCTTCGATCACAGGGTGTTTCAATATGTCATCAATTTTCGGTCGATGCGACGGCATTGGATTCAACATACTTTGAATTAACCGTATAAGAGTGTTGGAGACTAGACCGAATCGACATTCTGATAAATCTCCCGCTCGAAGTTTTTGCCATTCTGGACCATTATCAGGTAATATGATATTGGCAGCGAGCTCCAAAATAGACAGCCCGAAACTAAATAAGCATAAAAAAAAAGTGATGAATTGATCTTTTTTCTGAAGTTTTATAATGATTTATTTTATTTTTTTTTTACCTAAATATGTCGACTGGTTTATCATAATAACCGTTTAGTACTTCTAATGCGATGTACTCTCGATCACCCTCTTTTTCGATACCACGTGGCTGTATGCGAAGAAAGAGGTTCATGACTAATGCTTGGCACCAAAAATTATTAATATTAAAAACAATTTACCGCTGGACATTTAGTCGCCAACCCGAAATCACCAATTTTCAGGTTTTTCTCTCCATCTATAAATATATTCGCCGGTTTTATATCCAAATGAATTATATCATTACTATGAATATGTTTCAATCCCTATCAAAAATAAACATGAGTTAAATCGATTTGGTAAAAATTACTAAGTAAACTTTGGACTTACCAGAGCAATATCAGTGAGTATCTTCCATATACGTGTCTCTTCAAGTCGTTCTTGTGTACAGAATTCTTCGATAAAAGAATATAGACTATAAAAAAGTAGATAAACATCACTGTTAAATTACATGTGATTGATCATACATAGTAAGGTATAAATAATAATGAAGGGAAGAGATGATAGATTACCTGCCATGCTCGCATAGCTCAAATTGAAGATACAAAATTTCCTTTTGTTCCCATGCAGAAATAAGTTCCACGCAATGTTTATGTTTGCCAATTTTCCAAAGTATTTCAACCTCTTCTAAACTTTCCTTCCTTAACGAGCCACAAAACTTAACTTAGTCTTTTTCTAAGCTAGTCTATAAATTTTGATAAGCAGTTAAGGATACCTTGCTTTAATGCCGGTGAATCGTCGTTTACTCTTTTTGACGGCATAAAAATGACCTGATTTTTTATCTCGAGCCTTATATGCCCATGAAAATTCTCCGGAACCCAATGAAGTAATTTGATCGAATTGATTATGAAAATAATCCTCATTAGAGTTAGGATCAGGTGATAATGTATCTAGATATCATGAAAAATTTATTAGAAGTTCCATTTAGAAGAAGATGTGAGAGTAATTGAGTGAAAATACCATTTTCATGTCCCAATGATTGAAAATACTCTCTATTCAGAAAACGAAGGGTGGATGAATCCTTTCTGGGAGAGTCCAAATATTGATTTCCATATATTCTATTGTAGAAATTCGAGACCTTTCCAGTTGATCCTAATTGGGATCGATCAGAAAATGGAGATGCCACGGAAATTGGTTGTAATGAAGGCCCATCTGTGTAGGGTGATGATGTTGAAGATGATGTGGAATATCCGCATAATGGCGTGCCTATAGGTTGACTATTATCATATTTTAATGGCGTTTGGCATGTAGAATAATGAGAATTGCGAGAGAATAATGGGGATTGTCCGTAAAAGAATGAATTATCCAATTGCCTAGAACTCCCAATCGATGGAGAATACGGACAAGGTGAAGAAGGTGATGAGTTTTCCCAATTTTTATGTTGTATAGTTGGCGACAATGGTGAATCATTAGTTTCCTCTCGAAATAAGGAGGGTGTTTGAAGTGTAGAGAATTTATCCATAAAAGCTTTTGTTGAAGCTTCATGAGGGGTTTTTGGCGCAGCACAACCCGGAGTCTCCGAAGAAACACAAAAAAGCCCATTATTATTTTTATTCCTGCCATTGTCGTTGTTAATATTATTGCTATTACTATTGGCTAGAGGAAACCTCGAAAATAGAGGTGAGTGTTGATGCACAAGTTTTTTACAAGGAGTACGCGGCGCCGTAAAAACATTGTTCTTCTCTGCGAGCCGTGGCTTGTTTCGTTTAGAAAGAAGCCCAGTTGACATGAAAGAGCTTTCAATTGGTTTCGCGTTCCAGAAAGAGGGGGGTGTACATGAAGTGCCAAGTGAGGAACGCTGTGGGGTTTCCATTAACTTTTTTATAGTTTAAATGTGTGTTCAGGAAAAGTAGAGCGAGAGAAGAATATTAATAAATATGGGTTGGTGGGTTGATGTTGTGAGTAAACGTTTTAAGAAAATTGATAACGTGGTAGCAAAAGTATAAAAAAAATGTAAAATATTTGGGATCACGCGTATATTTATTATCGGCGCGTAGAGCGATCTTCACCGCAAGATCACATGATTCAGTTAAACGAATATACTGTATAGAAGAAATTCTAAATGATGCGTGTCAAAAATGTATTAGAAGATTTGACGTCACTGAGTATCGACCCATAACTAATCTACAATTTATTTTTGACCTCCCTTTTCTTACATTCATAATATAAACTGGATTTTAAAGTCTTCAAATATTAGTTTTAACATTGATATATAGAGATTAGGAGTTCGTAATTATTCGTTACAGGCAAAACTAAAGATCTTCTGCGGAATAAGAACAGCTAATTTCCTTCATCAACCGGGGACTCCTGCAATTCTGATCTAAACATTTTACGCTCAATCGTAACTATGTATTACCGTAAAACGCTCGTATTTAAGAGCGTATTTAATACAAGACCCTTTTCAAATAAACGAGCCCATTTTGGCTAAACATGAATAGAAGCGCATACCGAATAGAAGAGGTACCATAGAGAAAGAATTATATTCATAGGAACATAAACAGGAAGAAATTCGTAGGGAAATGGAGAATACAAACATAGTTGAAAAGAAAATATTTGTAGAAACATAAAAAAGTAATCTACTGCATGTCCCGACCCCATCTTAATTAAAGTACTCCGGAATTTCGCCCCCGAGTAAAAGAGCCTCTTTAATGCGGTATTTCGCGTGACGTTTCAATTTTGCAGGCCCAAGCCACAAGGGACGACAAAATAGTTTTTCCCTGAATTTACACATCCACGCGCCTCTTTTTGTTGCATGGGGATCTCGCCTAGCAGTTCAACACCAAGGGCGGCCTACTTGGCCGGACAGATGGATGCTGGCTTGTTAATACCCCAGGGTTTACATGTAAATCTTCCGTGTTCAACACACGTGTAAGAAAAGAGGTTGCGGAAAGAGCCTGCGTCTGGAAGAGTGTCAGTCGTATCGCAAGAGGCCTACAACTGTGCCTAATTATTCAACATGAAAGGGTGCCTAGTTGGAATTTTAAGGGTTGCTTGCGAACTTCATGTGTTTCAACATACATGATGTGACAGAATTACTTAAACCCTACAAAGAATACTAGTAAGTTTATAGTGTATTGCTGATAGCTAACAATCAAAAAATTTTCTCTTTAACCAGATGCCAAACATTGATAATTTTGTATTGGATGCGAATCTCTGTCGACCATACTCTGAAGTCAATGAATTTTTTTTCCAAAGCATCTTTACGCTGGTGGAAAGATGTTGACTGATTTACAAAATCGGTATACCAAAAGAATCCAACGAAAACAGCACAGCAAGTATTCGAGGACTATTTTCAAAGTCTTGTTAATATCGCAAAGATCAAATATTGAAGTTCAAGTTAAGTAATCATGAAAGAGTTACAATTTCTAGAATTAGAGGAATGATGCAATAAAAATGCTACTTGCGATTATTGTTCTGGTTTTAGGAACAAAAACAATAAGGCAGTTTGTCAAGTTGACCGATAAAATAGTTCAAATGATATGGTTTGTGAGAGTTGTAAGGAGAAATTATTAATTGCCAAAGTGCGAATATGGAAGAATAAAAACAAGATACACTTGTGATTGTAAAGAAGAGGCTCAAGAAGAAGAACTTCCAATCTTACCCCACGAACGAAGACCTAATGCTTTTTACGAGCGACAGATAAATTTCCTTCGTGAAGAGTCAAATAGTGCTGAATGAACTATCCACGAAGAACGAGAAGCTCGTGAAGATTTCATGGAGAAGTCTGACAAAAAGGGGGAATTTCTAGATAAGATTAAAGAATTAGAGGAAAAAATCAAGTAACTAGAAGCAGAGAATAAGCGATTAAAGGAGTTAACTCCTCAAGAACTGATTAAAGAAGTTTGAATCTTAATAAAGTTAACTCGATTATTAAAATTCAGTTAGAAAAGTCGAATTCTCAACAGAGCGCTCAAATTGAGGGCCTTGACTAAAAATAAGGAAGAAATTCCAACATCGAATCATTAAAGTTATATAAGCAAAAACGAGCCTGATACTCGAATGACGTCAAATGTTCACTTTGTCTGGTTAGGTTGCAGCACGCCCCATATACAAGATATAATAGGTATTCAATGTTATCGCTTTATATTCACAAGTCTTCTTTTAGTTAGTGTACAAGTAATAAACCCCCACTCAACGTAATAAATTTATTTCAAGTCTCTATTACCCGACTCCTCGACTTTATAATTGTATTTGACAGGCGCAAATTGTTTACTGTTTGATCGCGCCAAGCTTTTTTCACATATCGACATTCCAATATTCATTAGTGCCTTTTCGTTTTTAATATTTAAAAATAGAACGATAATTAGTTGAAGTTTTTTAATAATTTTACATCAGGTGATCTAATTCAGATCAACAAGTCCCATCAATGAATGAGTAATAATGATAAATATTTTCCAGAAACAAAAATTTTCATAAGTAATTCTCTATTTTCATTATTTCACCTCTTTAATCCACATTGCAATCCCGCTAATCATTGCAAGCTAATGTGCATTTAATTATCGGATTCTCCTATAATAACATTTTAAGTTGATTCACGAAATTAGATAATTTTTTCCCTTTATTCAATTTCCTTAATTGTCCAAAATCTGCCAAGAAAAATTTTTAATTATTATTTATTAAATGCCCATTGTAAAAAATAAATAATAAAGGGTCCAAAAAAATAATTAACAAACACTGACAATCTAATCCGAATAAAGCAAATTGCAATAGTTTACTACAATAAAGTGTCATTACAATATATGCACGATAAATTACAAATGAAATATATAAATAGGCGGCGAAATGAAAAGCGGTAGATTGTCGCGTTGATAAAAGGTACAAAATCATTTTTAATTAACAAAATAAAAAATAATGATAAACATAAATTTTTCAATGTAATACCCGAGACACACAAAACACACGCATACTTACATAAATTATTCGCATATACATACAGTGTTTTCTAATATTTTATAATATAGATCTGCTTTCTTTTGATGATCCAAATAAAATAAAAATATTTGATAGAAAATATTTAATATTTTGTTTTGGTCGCTTATCAATTTTTTCATTAGAATACGGGCGAACGATTTCGATATCGAATATCGGCCGCATAAACAAAAGTTGTGAATTAACATATCAAGCTCAGCTGATGGCAGTGAAATTAATAATTCATCCTTCCATAAATAAAACGACAATTATTAATAAGATCGATCGACTGAATGAGAATCATGCATATTCAAATTGTTCCTCGATTTTCAGACCGACAACCAATGCACAGCCTCGTTTCCTGTAACTCACTTGATTAGTTTCTATACTATAGTTGGTTAGAGCTTGTTCAATCTCTTATATGTACTTTGTCTCCATTATTCATGAGGTTGGAAATTAGAATATCATAGGCTGCTCCGTCTCACGATAAGCTTGCCGGAATTATTACCCTTCGTTTTTAATTTAATTTTACAATATTTTGTGAGAGAATACAAAACGCATATGCATTTGCATATCCGTACACGAAATACGCATATATGCATGCTGTAAATGATGATGATGATGATGATGATGGTGATGATGATGATAAAAGATTATTAATGCTGATTATGTTTATTTCACCTCTTATCTCATAATTTTTACCCTAATTTCCATTATCATTATTGATTAAATCACTGCAATTAATAATCAATCTCGGTCAGCATATATACACAAAAGCGCACGCATCTTCTATTCTTCTTTTTGTTGATCCCATCTAAAAGCCTCGAAATAATTAATTCAACTAAAAAAAAAAAAACGTGGATAAAAATTCCAGCAGAAATCTCATCACCCTCTCCCCTTTTGTAGTCGCTAACTTTAGCAATAAGCGGTCGTTATACCCAAAAACAAAAAAAACGTGGCGAAATGAAAGTTTAGATTGTTTGTGTTTGCATATGTAAGTAATAATTGAGTAACCGAGAAAGTAAATAAGTGTGCCTCGAGTCTAATTTAAACTTTTTCTCAATCTCTCATTCACTTCTTTCTTTCTTTGCGATTGAATTGTGTACCTTCTCTGTTTCTCCTAATAAATAACAAATCTTGAAACTGGTCCCTTTATTGATTCTTTCTTCGATACTTTCTAATCGTACAAAATAATACATACATATTTACATTCGTACATATGTCGTAGGAATTGGGCAAACTCGTTACATTCTAGCTTTATATATTTTTACAATTGTTGTGCACATCGATATTATTATTATTACTGCGATTACTATATTATTATTATTATTTTTATTTTATATTATTATCTATTTCATTGTAGACAATCTAACAGCTGCACAACTCGACTCACCCAGCAATAAAAACCCACTTTACTAATCAAATCCAAAAAAAATATAGAATAAAATAAAAATAGACAATAGAGCAAGTACGCACACACAACACACAAAACCATAACACTCGCACTAGCACCACACAAATAATTTCCCATATAAAAGAGCAGACGACTTTATTTTTTCTTCTTTTACACACACATATTTTTTGCCTGTTTCCGCAAACTTTCGCTTGTTTCAGCCGTCCTTTTCTCCCGACTGACGCTGTCTTTCTTTTGTGGAACAAAATAATTGTGCGTAACGCTGTCGACCGACGAGGATTTCTCTCTTTTCTTTTTCTCTTCTTCCTTCTTCGCATTCTTCTCTTACTTCCTTACCCTTCCTCTCGCTCTCGCTCTCTCTCTCTCCTCTGACTAATACATATATATATTAATATCCATATCGTTGTGTTTCCGGTTCTTTGAAGGTTTGTTGAATTTATGATTGTATCTTATTTATTTTATGCGTCTAAGCGCGTCTGTTAATACGTCGGCGTGACAAATAATAAACACAAACACCCTACATACACATCTCTCGCAGACCACGCCTCAAATATTATTTAGTGTTCTACATATACTAGTTTGGTGTTGGTGCTGGTTTTTATTTCTTTCAACTTTAGATTAGCTTTAAAACTTGAAGTCAAAAACATAAGAACGTCATCATTTAAATGCTCTTTTTTAACATATTTTTATTAGAGTTTTGTCCAACATAAAAAAGAAACGTTTTGGAACCTTGTGTTTGTCCACGCTTAACAGTTATCGTAAATAGACCTTATATAATAGAGAAACACAGGCTGTTTGTTACTTCTGCCCTTAGAAAAAAAAAGTCCCCCACTACAAAAATTTATCATAAATGTTTCAGAGGAACCAAGCCTCAGGTTTACTCATACAGTCATTCAATTCTCCAATACCCGAAGATCAATTCAATAACCCTCAAGGATATTTAGAGGATTCCCATCATTTTCTTCAACAGCAACAGCAGCAGCAGCAGCATCAACAATTTAATAATGGCCAAGATTCATTAGTGCGATTACAGATAATTCAAGATTATGGTCTCGACCCAAATGTATATGCAGGGCAATCACTCGATGATAGTGTTATTCCTGATCCTTCTTTTGCAAATGACTTCTATGCTAGTGGAGACGCCTCAGGATTTGGTGAGGGCCCCGTTTATAGTGTAATACCCAAGGATAATTCATGGTTAGTTGATTCACCATCAGCCCAGGCGCATGAACAATCTCCTTCTCAAGATCAACAGCAGCGGACATTACATGATTCGCCAGTTCAAGAACATGTTCGTCTGCCCAATGATCCCGCTGCTTCATTGACCTTTCAAAATAATGACAATGATATAAATAATATTGAGCAGATCCCAAATCGAGCTCAGACTCCGACCCCTCTCAAAAACATTCCGCATTATTTAACTGCTCGTCGTCGAAGTTTATCCGCTGATAATATTCATGCAATAGCAAAAGCTCATGCTCGTAAAAATATTACAAATCAAGTTCAGCAACAGCAGTTCCTGCAGCAGCAACAATTTCTACAACAAAATTCGCAGCAGCAGCAGCAACAATTATTTGAACAAATGCAATTTGGTATACCTTCAAACTTAGCATTTGTTGACGAAAATAATTATCCAAAGCAGGAAAATGGACAAGATTACATATATATGCAAAGAGGCGGAGAAGCAGGAGGTATTCCTGGGTCTCATACTATGTTGCTCGATGATGCTCATGTCATTAATAGTACTGGTGATCTCCATCATCATCAATCCCTAAACATTGCATCGAGAGCTCGAATGTTTAATAGTCCATCAACAAATCATGTGCAGAAGTTTAATGAAGGGCAAGCCAGATTCAAAGTGAAACTTCCCAGAAATATTCCTAATATTCAAGTTCCTAATCCTGCTATCGCTATAAATCCAACCGGTGCATTACCTGCATCAATGAATCTAACAGCTTTCCCTGGAGTAATACCGGGTATGGATTTGCCCGTGTCAGTGTCCACGCCAAATACTCCAACTTACTCGCCTCAATCATCAAACATTAATAATAATAGCGGCACTAATAATAATACAAGTCCTAACAATAATAACAACAGCAGTAGTAATAATGATGATGGTGACAACAACAACAACAACAACAACAACAATAATAATAATAGCAATAATAATAATGGTAGTAATAATAAACCATCAGTTCCTCGACGTGGCCACATGCGTAAAAGATCACTTTCTGCGCCCACACAACCTTTTGCTAATCCACAATTGTCTGTTGGAGGTAATGGTATGCCCTCGCTGCAACCTGCTCCATCATTCCCTTTCAATATTTCTTCTGTTTCCCCATCATTTCGTAGACCTGGTGCATTACCAATTCAGATTCAACGAAGTCATAAGCATAGTCATGCGAGTGCTCCAATGTCATCTGAAGAATATCAGCGTAAACTCGATGAAGAGCTAGAAAAAATCGATTTCGAAGATATAACAGTCAGTGAACTCAAAGACATGTTGAGACAACGTGGAAAACCCGCTACTGGTAAAAAGGCGGTACTAATGCAACGATTACAAGAAGAATATGAAATGGTAAAAGCGATGAAACAGAATAATCAAGGACAACAATCGAATAATTCTGCTAATTCAACCAATAGCAGTAATAATAAAAATCTTAATAATAAAAGTAACGGTAATAATAATATTAATAATAGCAATGATGGCACCAACAATAATAATACAAGCAATAATCAAAATAATAATGCCAACACAAGTAATACCACTAATGGCAGCAGTAATCCTCCAAAGACAACGATTAATACCAGTAATATGTCGAATAATCAATATAATCAAATGCTCTCATCTCCGACATCACCATCTGGGCTGTCACTGCATCGTAGCATCTCTAATCTACACATATCAAGTCCACCAGCTTATCCAAGGCGCTTTAGTCCCTATGGAAGCGTCAGTATTCCAAATAGTCCAAGAATGATTCCATATGGAATGGGGAATACGAGAGCCATATCAAATTACAATAATGGCGGATTTGCATTTCCGGAAGGCGTCGATGAATGGCATTTTAAAAGCGCCGGAATTGTCCGTCATGGATCACAACAATTAGTAGAAATGGAAAATAATGCGATGTTTCAAATGAGTTTAATGGAACATCAACAACAGCAGCAACAACAGCAGCAGCAGCAACAACAACAACAGCGACAAGCAGCCACACCTCAGCCGCAACAACATGATGATTATTTTGGCATGCAACAACCACCATCATCGGCTCCCCCGACAACAACTGAATTCGATGCTTTCCCAGAACAACCAACCACCTCAGCGGCTACTACAAATGAATTTGCTGCCTTTCAGCAATCGCCATCGTCTGCTCCACCATTGAGAACGGAATTTGTAAATAACACATATGAATTTATGCGTTCAAATCAATTATCGACGATGGAATTACCGATTGGAATTAACGAAGAAATGATGCGAATGGAAATTAGTGACGATGCGACTGCTGGATCGAATCCATCTGCTTCTGCTACTACTGCCGATACAATAATGGTGAAACAAGAATCGGATGATCCTGCTAAAGAATTAGGAACCCAATCTTTTGGTCTACAAACATTAGGATTTGAATTTGAGCAGGACGATCAAATTTTTCAGCAGCCATTAGATCTTCAGATGCAATTAGAGCCTCAAGATGAAATGTTCTTTTGTAATTAGAGATACTAATAACTCGAATCAACTTGATCCAACTCAGCTTTACCCAACTCAGGGATCAAAGCCGACTCAAGTCGACGACTAAAAGTCGATTCTGTGAGCTGTATGATATAATAACGATAAAGATGACTCGTTATTCCAGAATAACAGTTACTAAGAGATTTCCGGCGCGGATAACAATAATAGCGATAATGGTTATATCACATACAGCGAAAATTAAACGGATAATTTATAAATTATATTTATTTATTTATAAAAAAACTTTTATTTATGCTAAATTATCATCCATAAACACAAGCATACACGAGCACCAATGCTTGTTAATCTATTTCTTAATAACCCCCAGCAATTGAAAATAATTTGTTCACAAGGAACTGAACTTGCCTAATTGATAAATGATTTCGTGCTAAATTAGATAATAATAGATATTTCCACGTTGTATTTTGTCGGTTTGTTGTGTAGAATAATTCATTTAATTTTTTTCATGAAAATAGATAACTTTTTCGTGTGGAAATGTGATAATTGTTGTAGGAAGTTGACGTTGTACTCGATCAAAAATTTCTTGAGCAGTTTTCCCGAAAAGCGATACTTTTTATAAAGTGGATCACCACCTGTCAATACATTGCCAATAATTTTATAATTCATAACCCACCTCTTTCAATAAATTATCGTTATAAATTTTATTCTATTTATCTGAAGTTGGATGATATAATATCATACATTGGGAAAAAAATAAAACAGTCACTTTTTAAGTTATACAATACTTAAGCCAAATGATAATATTTTAACTAAATTACAATTTGGCTAAAACAATTTTGTTATTTCATTTTTCTGTTGCTATCTCTTGTATTATTAAAAAATGAAATCAAATAAAAATTAATAAAAAAATAATTATTATTTAAATAATAAAATTAATTTATTATATATATTTTTTTAATATTTAAGAATAAAAAAAATAATTTAATTTAATTTTAATAATATCTCAATTAAAATTCAAAAAATTTTTAAAATTACTTTTTCAAATATTTGACAAAAAATTAGTTAAGAAATTTTTTAAAAATAATTTTAATAAGTTATTCTATATATTAGCTTATAAGAAATTTTCATTATATAATAAAGAAAAATATAATTAAAAATTATTTTTTATGCAGAACTTTAATTAATAAATAATATAATAGAATTTTCTAATTCTTCTTTAAAATTAATTTTTTTAACTTAAAAAATTATTTAAAAGAAATAATTTTAATATTATCTAGTAAATAATCTTAAATAAACTTTTTAATAAATATTAATAAATATACAGTGGCAATCAAAAATAATGCAATGCTTAAATTTTTTATTAATTATAATTAGTAAAATACATATTTTTCCTTACATATAAAAGTTTTTAATTTTACTAACAAATATTTTTTATTTT